GAATTTATTTCTGAGTCACATCTTTGCATTTGTAAGATGTATGGAAGGAAATTATATTTATTTACATACTGCTTCACAGTTTTTCCCAATTCCTTTCTTTTATATGGTGACACTTTCTGTATAATACAAGAAACTAAACAGTCTGATAGTGTAGTACATATTGAAGCAATGTAGCTATAATATGCTATATTATTTTACATGTGTACATTAATTTCTAACTTAGCTTTTATTGGTTACTCACCTTTTGTTCCAAGCTGTGAAAGGAAGAAACAAATGAGAGCTACCCCTTCAACAATTGCTAGGAGGAAAATACTGTGATGTCTCTAATCACATCAGAATAACAGTGATATTCTTCAAGAAAGTATAACTTAAAAAGGTGGAAAAAATTAAGGACAATGACACATTTTTAAAAATGATTTTGTGACTCATCAATTTAAAATACTATTTTTTAATATGCTTACATATTCATATCTTTTTGAGTACTGAGTAAGGTATTATTCCAAAAGTTAAGCAGACCATGTTTGGATGACTCTGGTTAAAATCTCTACACAATATGAGGACACTGGTGACACATAATTCTTAAAAAAATAGAGTAACAAGTTGTTTTAACCTAAAATTCAGTGGAATTTTTAATATACTTTCCCTAGAACCTATTTTAATTTTCCTTATTAAAGCTGCATGGTGGAATACATAAACTCTTTTACTTGTATTAGTTAATTTTTACAATATATTTAACTATCATAAAGTGATGATCAAAGGAGGCCTTTAAGAATATTATTACAGATATTCTACAATCTATCTCTGGGGCTAAAAATTTTTCATTTCTTCAAGCAATGGCAGAAGAACCCATTACTAATTCTGGATAAAAAATATTGAGTTTTGATGGACTCAGGTAATAGAGAGCAGTTGACCATATTACAGAAATGTGAATCATAACAGCGAAATGCTTGGCAATGTATGTTTAAGATTTAAAACATAAGGGCCTTGTACTGACCCTAAATTGTATAATCAATAATAATGTATGAACAATGATGTAGTAACGCTGAGAGTTCTGCTAAGGAATTACAACACCCTGAGTGAAGCAGTCTAGCTAATAAGAAAACATTTTCTTGAATGCTATATCTACTGAGTGAAGAATCAAAACTGAACACTGTCACACTTCAAAGAAATGTTTTATATAAAGAAAGCCAGACGAAATCTAACAACTTAGTGAATTATTCTAATAATATTCATAAATCCATAAATCAACTCATATAGTGTTGTACAAATTTGCAAGTAGGTTTCCCCAATACATGAAAATCAAAAGAATACAATTCACTTACAGCTTTGGTAAATCAGGCCCAGGCCTAATAATTCAAACCTGAAGATAAATTATTATGTTCAATGGAAAACATTTTTATGACAGGCAAGTACCATTTAATGTAATCCTACCCAAATCTATTCCCATCATTCGCTAATTCATGAGTGAAAATACTCAAGCTGAAGAAAATTTAGAGCATATATGTCAATAATATGTTTCAATGTTACGTGCATCAATGTCTGTCACATATATTGTCTGTCACAGTGTCCTTCTGGACAAAATGTCCAACATCCAGTTAGGCAAGTCCATCATACATTGGGTGAACCTTTGACTGATGGGTTGGTCTCAAAGCATTCTAGTAAATGTGGTTATGTTAGGCTGGCAACCCATCACCAGTGGGGTCCCCCAGAACCCAATTTTAGGGCCAGTCCTCTTTAATTTTTTTCATAAAAGACCTGGTGAAGGAATCATATGTATATTGAGTAAGTTTGCTGGTGATAGCAAAAAACTAGGAGGAGTTTGAGGGTTTTACTGAGAGGTCTGGACAGACTAGAGAGCTGTGCAATTGTCAAATGTATGAAATTTAACAAGAGCAAGTGCTGGATTCTCCACCTGGGGTGGGGTAATTCTGGTTAAATGTACAAATTGGGAGACAAGAAGCTGGAGAAAAGCCTTGCAGAAAGAGACCTGGGTGGATTGGGTTGCTGGGAAGCTGAATCCCTGTCAACAGCTGATCAGAAAAAAGGGCCCAACTATGACCTGGGGGCCTTAAGGACATTATAGCTGGCTGGTCAAAGAAGGCAACTGTTCTTCTCTACTATGCATTCTTACATTGCCATCTCCACTACTTTGTGTGGTTTTGACCACCCCAAGCCCTCTGAGAAGCTGTGATGGGGCTCTAGTTGTTTAGCCTGCAGAAAAGGAGGCTCAGGAGTGACTTTATTACTCCTTACAACTATCTGAAAGGAGGTTGTAGCCAGGTGGGGATTGGCCTCTTCTGCCAGGTAATAAGTGGTAAGATGAGAGGGAATGGCTGCAAGTTATTGCAAGGAAGGTTTGAAATTAAATATTATGAAACATTTTTTCACTGAGAGGGTTACCAAGCATTGGAAGAGACTCCCCAGAGAAGTGGTTTAAAAGGTCTTTAGATATGGCACTCAGGAACTGGCACTTAGGAATATGGCACTTTAGTCATGGACTTCACACAGTTAGGTTTACAGTTGGACTTGATGATCTTAGAGGTCTTTTTCAACCTGAAAGATTGATTAAAATATGACAAGCTTCACCCAAGCAGGTGGGACAAAGACAAAACTGTCTTTGCAAAGACAGGAGTTTTTTTAGGGCTAAAGAATACCTGAAATCAGTCTACTAGTTAATTTTTAATACAAATGTCTCTGATGGTTTAAGAATCAGAGGTGATAAAATGAAGACCATTTAGGGTAATAAAATGAAGTTCAAACTTCTAAGAAATAAAAGTTTTTCATGAAGTGAGTCCTGATACCTCTTTTCAAAGAACTGTTGAAAAGGTTATTTCCCTAGGTTCTTCTCCTATGAGCAAACTAGAGCACAATAAACATTCATGCTCTCTAAAATATGCTGATTTATTTTACTCTTTAACATTACACTGATTGTTTCATATAAATATTTTCTATTAAAAGAAACATGGGCGTGTGACACTTATGCTACATCAACCCCTTAAAAAATTAAAATACTTGACAGCAATTTTTGATAGACTCAAAACTTCCATCAAAGAAACATATCACCAACATTCTTTTTTGGATCATGATATTCATATATCCTAAGAAAGGCATACTGTGGGTTTAATTGAACAGCATTTAGGAGTAATTCTAAAGGATCACCAACTGTGTCTTCACAACTCTAGCTCTAGGTGGGAACATCGTGTAGGAGTATAGATTTATCTTTTAAAGGTGCCTAAGTTGCTTCACTAAATAAAGAGCCCAGATCCCTCTAGCTCTGAATATTCACTAGAAGCTGATACTCTTGCAGTGTTACATCACTCCTTTTATGTCAACATGGACTGAAAATAGGATATTCAGATTATTTAATTCAGGAACTCTTTGAAATAAAGAGATAGTAATCAATATGTGTTTGTTTGGTTCCATTTCTGTCCTTACAGTATCTGAAGGCCACTTTTTATGCATTTTTCATCTCCTAGAGCGTTGGAATGCGAGCTCGACTCTAACTCTTATATAAGCTTTCCACATTTTGCTTGGAGGGAGATTAAGTTTCATGTACTCCTAGACAGAAGTACATGGATTGGTTTAATCTAGTTGTATAAACATTCCCAAGAAGAGGGATAAAAGGACCATTCATTCTAACTGAACGTAGATATATGAGCAGATGACTAGTTTTATTTGTTTTATTTCTGCATCTCCAGACCACAATCCTGACTTTTAGTTATACACTTAATGCTGTTTCAGTGAGAAACTTCTATTTATTTCAAATTAAATACTTCAAATCTCCTGACCTCCCACATTGGTTTCTCATGCTCTTCTAGATCTGTTCTAAACCAGTTTCATCGTCCTAGATTTTTCCAAGAAAAATTCAAAGGAAGGAGCAGAAAACACCTTCTTAATTGTTTCTGTTTGGGTTTTTTTGTTTGTTTGTTTGTTTGTTTTTAATTAGAGCAAGATGTCAGCTTCTCCTTTTGTTAGTCAGAGATTCACCAGTATTTCAGGCTGAGCTGAATTTTTCCATTTCCCTCCTGCCAATAGCTGCAATAGAAGATTCTGCAAAGGATACATTCCGCTTGAGGTAGGCTCCTCTTCCTATGCCATGTACCCATACTGAGAAGGCATAAATCCACCTGACTATATTATACCTTGGAGGAAGAATATGGAAGGGACATTTTTGTCTAACTAATAATAGACCAGGAGTTGATAAGGCTCCAGTAACTTTCAGTTGCTCTTCCACAAGGTATGAAAGACCTTCCTTGAAGAGGTCAGAGTCATTGTAGAATCAAGTACAGGAAGATATCTGTAGTCATTATTTCTACACCTTGCCTGAAAGAGTTCACAATGTATATATTTCTGCACAATATGAACACAGTAAGCCTGTCTGCAATGCTGGGGAAGGATAATTCCATGTAAAGGCAATCCTCCTGGAAGTAGGAATCTTCTTTATCTTCCCATTCTGAATCTCAAAGCAGATGCAGCCTGGATCTAGATTATGGGCTTGTACAGCAATAGGAATGGCAACTTCATCTCATGATGCATCACCTCTGTGTCTGGAATTTGGTAGGAATGGTAATAACAATGCGTATTAACTTGGGTTGTGTCTGTTCCTTTAATTTCCTGGATGCAAAGTACTCATTTTCATAGAGAAGTGCTGTTTTCTTGTAAATAATCTCTTACCAACTGGAAACATTTCCAGACCGCTCAGCTCCATCTCTACACTGTAAGGATATCTTTGTGGGTTGACTTCTGCTGCTGTTTCCTGATTAAGGTTACAGTGTATCAATACTTTTTCCTGTTGGAAACCAAGAAGCTGTAATGGACAATTGTTTACCTATCTCCAAGATCCCTGCTGTTGTCCTTGAAGAGAAAGTTTGACTTCAAAAATAATTTCCTAGTACTCTCAGAATAATTTTCCATTTCAGAAGAAATGTGGTAGTATTACTGGGACACATATAAATACTTGTTTATTCTTGACATTGTAGTCCTATGTATTGTTAATGGTAGAAAGCTGTGTATGGAAGGTCAGGTAATTTCTTCATCTGTCTACTTAGTTTTCTCTCTCATCCATTATCTTTGTTTCTCCTCTTTTCACCCTTGGATAGCTGATCTCTGCGAAGAAAGAAGCCCATATAGCTCATTATTTCACGTTTTCCAACTCACAGATGGTAACCCCACCTGCAGATCTGCCCTTTTTATGCCATTACTAACTTCATGCTCTGTTTAAACTCTGTTATGTTTGCAACCAGGTCACCTGCTGAGGGAATGGATACTTCTGACAAGACCCAATCTCCTATTGAGCAAATGGGTTACAGACACAGAGGCCAAATTATTATTAAGTGTTAGCATAATTGTAATTATAAGTTGAGTGTTTCATTATAATACAGCTGTTGAGGCTTTAATGCATTCCTGTAATGTGCTTTATTAATAAGCTGCATAGAACTGCTGACTTTACAATTTTCTGTATCACATTTATGATAACAAAAGAGGATATGAAAATGAATTCACTGCGGGAGACCTACTGTGTTAGTTACTATGATTCACAAGTTTATTATGGTAATAAAGCAACATGAGACAATAACATTTGGAACTGAAATACACTAATGATGCTTCATATTGTTCCAAAAACATTATGCAAAAGTGGTAAAAAGTGTTATGACTTGCAGATAGTAAAATTCAGCAGATGTCACAAAAAGTGAGAAAGACAGTAATGTTAGCCCCTGAATCATTTGATGCTTCCTTCCAAATCTTCCAAAGTTAAGAGAATGTTTAAGTTGGTTGGCTGATTGATTGGTTGGTTGGCAACAAAAGGGGATTTTTATTAACTTTTACCAATTTCACTCAAATCAATATTTGAGTGACAGACAATGTGATCTTATCTGCAGTAGAGGTTTTCATATTACATATGTTAATTTTAGTGCTATAGACCTGCATACAGTGTACAGAGGAGTAGTAGTAAATAAGTCTTGCAGCAAAGCATACTGTGACTTGTAAAATACATCCTATTACTGAAGACTGGAGAGTACAATATGCATTACGTGTGCTGAAGCATGATAAGCATGATGAGAATAATGGAAAAATCATAATTTAAAGTAAGTTTTATAAAATTATAAAAAGTCACTACCTCAAAACACAGGAACACTGAGGCTATTTAATGATAAAAAAGGTATCTTGTGCAAAAAATATCTTAAAAATTCTTTATCATAAACTGTATTTAACAGATTGTTGTAGGAAATTTGAAAAGTCAAGAAAAGAAGAGAAGTTGAAACAGAATATTTACCTGACATTGGTAGACATAGACTCTGGTGTCCCTACATGCCACTTAAATTATGAGGAGAAGCATAGTTCAACTGTTTTCAGCAACTACTTAAACAATAAGTACTTGAATTCATTGGACATCTACTCAAGTACCTAATTTTTATTATTCTGAAAATGTTTTATGTACTTATTTTTGTTTGCCAACATGTTTGAGATGTGATTTTTTTCCTGAGATGGACAATTTTTCTCTAATTTTAAAATTTAATATCAAACTAGTTAGATGGCTATTTAAAAAGAAAAAGGGGTTCTGTAAGCAAATTTGGAACTATGAGTCCTGAATAATTAGGATTCCTCTGTATGTACTATTAATCAGGCTGTCTCCTCTGGTTGGTCTTGTGGTGTATACACACAGGACTGAACTGTGGCCTGATGTTAACAAAAAGTAAGTAGGACAAAACTCTATGCAATTGTGGTTGCCCACTTCTGACTTAATGGAAATTATTAAGTCTTAGAAGAACCTCTATAAATGAATGCATAATATAGTAGATTATTAGGCAAAAAGTGCTTTTCTCCACTCTTGTATTGAAGAGGATTATATGGACTGAGTTCCAAGAAGGTTGAGGTGCAAATTTCCTGTAATTTTCCTGTAGTAAAAATAGGTAGATAGTTGATCTAATTAACTGAGTTTCTGAGTTTCTTTTTGAAAAGATATAATTTGAAGATTTCATACACATTGTCATGCTTTAACCTCAGCTGGCAGCTCAACTCCACACACTTACTTACTAGCAGGATTAGGGAGAGGATCAGAAGACTGAAAGTGAGAAAAATCTTGGGTTAATCTTAATAGGTAAAATACAAGCCATGTGCTCAAGCAAAGCAAAGCAAGAAATGAATTAACTGTTTCAAATGGCCAGGCAGGTGTCCATCCATCTCCAGGAAAGCAGGGCTCTGAGCATTCTTCTCTTTCATCTTCTTTCCCCATCTTTATCTGTTGAGCATGATGCCATATCATCTGGAATATTCCTTTGATCAGTTGAGGTCTATGTCTTCTCCACACTTTGTGTGTACCTCCAGCCTCTTCACTGGTGGGGTGGTGAAAGAAGCAGAAAAGGCCTTGGCTCTGTGTAAGCCTTGCTCAGCAATAACAAGAAGGTCCATTATCAACGGTTTTCAACACAAATCCAAAACACAAGCCTATAACAAATACTCTGAAGAAAATTAACTACTCTTCTCCAGCCAAAATCAGAACATATATTGAATATAAAAAAAAAGGCAGCTGCCTTATCTGGATGGACTGTATGGCTGTCTGCTTGTCTTCAGAGGAGTTCCTCCTTTGACTCAACAAAGACCTTTATGTTAAATAAGCTGAATTACCTCCATGGGGCAAATTACCTAAAATTTTGGTGAGGTAGTTGTTTAACAACATGCCTAAATTAAGATTCCATGGAAGACTATTTAGTCTTATACTAGCTGGGCTGGAAGGAGCCTTTAAAAGGTTCTTGCAATAAACATGGACATTCAACTAGAACATGTTTTTCAAAGTGCTGTTCAAATTGACTTTAAATGTTTCCAGGAATGGGACAACTCTAATGTCTGTGGATAATCTGTTCTGGTGTTTGACAACAGCTACTGTAAAAAAAAAAAAAAAAAACAAACTCTTTCTTACATCTTGTCTAAATCTGCCTTCTTTTAGTTTAAAACTGTTACCCCTTATTCTAGTGTGACAGGACATGAGAAAAAATTTGTCCCTATCTTGCTTATAAGCCCCCTTAAACCACTGAAAACCTGCATAGGTCCCTCCAAAGCCTTGTTCACTGGTGTGGTCACTCCATGATTAAAGGCCACTGGGTTGGTCAGGCAGGGCTTGTCCTTGGTAAAACACGCTGATTGTCTCGAATCATAACCTTGTGCCTTAGCATAGACTCCAGGAGGTTTTGTTCCCAGTCACAGAAGTGAGGCTGTCAGGATGCTATTTCCCAAGCTCCCCCTTTTCACTCTTATTCAAAATGCATGTAATCTTGAACTAATTGTCAAATAAACATTATAAGATGCAATGGCCCATCCTTCACAGTGCTGATCAGTTTGAAATCTGGTGAGTCTCAAAGTACCCTACTATTCTTAGACACTTTTTCTTCATTGATTATAGAGCAATTCACAGCATCAAAAGCAAGAAAAAATAAGAACTGGAAAAGAAGACTGGAGTCTTGAAACATTTCACTAGACTCAAAAGTATTTGGAAATGTTGAAGATTTAAAATTCACTTGAAATGTGTAATAAATGGGTGGCAGCAGAAAAGAAGACATTTAGAGGCAGTCATATTTCTAAAGCAGCTATTTCTGAAGCATTACCTGATTTTAATACTGCTCAGTTAATTCAAGCAGAGGAGACTAACTCTATAACTATTAAAGATATGAGAGGTACTTAGCTTCATGTAAAATAGATGGAAAGGTGCTTTTAATAGAGTTTATTAAAAGAAAAGCAGAGAGACATTTGTAATGCATCTATGAATGAGATCTCTTATTGCAATTTGGGGGAGTAATTGGAATCCCCTATTATAAAATAGAAATAGAAGGAAAAATTAAAAATAGGACAAACAAACATTAAAAGAACCCTACCGAAAACAAATTCAAGATAACAAAACAAGAAGAATTTGCTAAGCAAAGGAAATTACCTAAAAAACTGAATGTGATGGAAAATGGATAGGATTTTCAAACTGTTGGAGAATGTACTATGAAGAATGATATTAAAATAGAAAGATATGGGAAATTAAAAACTAGAGTACATTCAGAGAGCTGCATAGCAGAGAACAAAGCCAACTCATCACATTTTGGAAAAAAATCAAGAAATTATTATGACCATTAGAGATTGCAAGTAATAATGTGCCTTATTTACCAAGAGGATAAACTATCATTGATTTAGAAGACCTGTTCCTAAATTATTATAGCAATGAGAGAATGGATAAAAGCTAGGTAGGAACTGTACTAATTTGAGTGATACAAAAGGCACTGTGGTGCATGAAATAAAATTAGTACTGTTAAAGAGATCCATAAGTAACAAGAATGAGACAGGATAATTATTTGGGTCTTAACCAGATTATTTTGTACAAAAACCTAATTATATGTTTGTATAAATATATGTGCCAGTATACGGGAAAATTGTCTCTTTTTTTCATTTTTACAAGGACAGTACCACTAATGATTAGGTTATACCTAGTCTCTCATTTGACTTCAACATAAATGAAAAACAATGAAAAAAAAATACTACTGAATATGCAGATAGCACAGAGGAAAATTCTGGAAAAGCTCACCATACTCTAAAATAGAGTTTAAAGAGGACATTTTGTTTTAATATTGATATTAGAGATTGAAGAGGAAATGTATAATAACTTGATGTATTTTATTATTGTTAAACCATAAGAAAAATGAAAAATCATGGAAAAATGAATAAGAAGGCTAGGTACTTGTGCTTATAGATGGCTCAAGAAAGAAAATACCTAGAAATTTATTTTTTCATTTAACTGCAGTGACAAACAATTTTTGAGAGCCGGCTGATGCCAGGTTATTTGATTTACTATCCTAGTTCTGGCATATGACCATATAAAATTAGAGCTCATGTTTGTGCATACTGTATGGTTTCTTGAAAAGTGCCATTTCCTCTGACTGCACTGGGAAATGCAGCAAATTTATTTTATTGCATAGATATAGATAATTTTTGCACAGATATTTTGTTCTGAAAAGTGTCAGTAAAGTGGCCAGGGACTCCAGCCAGACTTGAAGAGAAGTATAGCTTCTGGATTTAATCTAAACAAAACAAAACAAAAAACAAACAAACAAACAAAAAACAAAAAAAAACCAACCCCCCAAAAACAAAACAAAACAAAAACAAAACCAAACAAACAAAAACAGGCAAGGAAAAAAATTAAGCTTTTGTTATTCAAAATATACCTGGGAAGAAATTAAGATAGAAAATTGGAGTACTACAGTGCAAATTTCCCCAACAAAGATGATATACAAATTCTAATAAAAAATGTACAGTGATAAAATAAATTTTAAATTTTATTTATTTATACTATTTTATAGCAATAAGTAATTGTTCAATAATGAACTTTAGCCATTTAGAACAGTTCTGATAAACAAAAAAATGATATGTGTTGGCTGTATTCTAGTAAATGTATCTTTGCAGCTTTTCTGGTGGCAGGTTAGTTGCCTGGTAATTTTTTACAATACACCTGAATTTCTGTTTGGACTGCACTGCCTTATTCATAGTAACACATGCATGGTAAAAAGCTTGTGTTTCATCATAGTTGTTCTAAATGCCATGGATTATTTAAACAACTACATTCTGTTGTGTTCATATAAAGAAGATAAATCTGTTCTTAGAGTTAGGTAGGAAAATCTTTAATTCTAGGGGGAATTTGGTAGCTCAAATTGACTGTGAGCTGCTTGCTGACCCTTTCTGTGATTCATTCCTGAATTTCTAATTGTGTTGACAAATACCTTCCACTACAGATGTACAGATTTCTATGCTAAATGTACAGATCGGACAGATTCTGTATTTCTAGATCCAATTTCTGGAACAATATTGAACTATTTTTTAAAAAGCATGACAACCCTCTGAAAAACCTAGAAAACTCCTTGTACAATACTTGTTTTTCTTTCAGGATTTTTGGTCACAGGCACACAAAAAATACAGTAAGGTTCCATTTAAAATACTGATTTGTAATCTTTGTTTTTAACTTTCAGGTAAATAGTTGCATATTTTTCAAGGTGTTTTTCAGATCACCTTGATATATCTTATTGCCTGAAAAAGTAGAATTCATTCATTAAGAGAAAGTCAAGATATTAAGCAAAATCATCAGCTGGTCATTGACCATTTCCCCTTTGATTATGGGAGCTTCGTTGTCCTCATGTTCCTGTTTTCCTGCTCAGGAAGCAGGGCAGCTGGAGAGCAACTAGTGTTACTATTAAAGACCAAGTCAAAGAAAACTTTTTCCTCATCCCTTATCACTGTCTTTTTCCACACTCCCAATAAAGGATGGAGATTCTTCTTTGCCCTCCTTTTGCTACTAATCTATTTGTAGAAATTTTTTTACAGTCTTTTATAGATGTTGCCAGATTAATTCTTATTTGAGCTTTGGCCCTTTCAATTTTCTCCCTCTATAACCTCATAATATTATTGTAATCATCCTGAGCTGCCTGCCTCTTCTTCTGAAGGTCATAAATGTACCTTTTTTTCCCCCAAGTTCCAGCCAGGTTGGTCTTCTCCATTGGCTCATCTTTTGGCACAAGGTGATGGCCTACTCTTGCCCCTTTAATATTTCCTTCTTGACAATTGTCCAGCCTTCCCAGGCTACTTTGCTCTTCAGCATTTCTTCCCAAGGGACTCTCTCACCAGTCTCCTAAGCAGTCCAAAACTTGCCCACCTGGAAGTCAAACACTTTTATTGTCCTTTTTGACAAGAAAATATCAGTCAGATCCTTAATAATGATGATACAGCATTCAGTATTTTTGAACTATGTGTCTTGTAAAAGAAAGGATTTAAAAAATTTTAATGTCATTGGTTACTAGTTAATATTACATAACTTAAAATGTTGTTGTGAGAAACCATAACTGGTTTATATAGCTGGATTATATTTTCCTTTCTGCTGAGACTCATATTGGGTCCCAACAGCCAAAGCTCATACACTAAGTAAAGCATTCTGCTGAAAAACTTAGCTTCTTGTGATTTGTAAACAAAAATTCACCATTTTCAAGGCTAAATGAATGCAATTATGAGGTATAAAATATATATCTTTAAAGATATTTAGGATTCAGTCTTGAGTTACAAAACTCATGACTCTAAATAATTTCTTCTTGTGAAACCAGGAGACCTAGGACATTTACGAAAGCTTAGCAAAATCATTTTATATTTGTCCTTAAACAGCTGCATTGAAATAAAAAGTTAGCTGCATGCAGGTTATGAGTGATGAAGTGTCTTCTTCTGCCTGAGAAAAAATAACAAATACTGAGACTTGTCAGAGTTTTTGTTATAAAAAAGGGTGCAATGGTAAACTAAATGGCAGTTTGTGAATAACTTTGTTAGAATCAAATTGCCTAGGAAAATGAAATAAATTTTAAAAAACATCTTACCTTGTACCCTGTGTTTCTTGAAGAGAATTGTGATCTTTGATTCCTGTTTTACATGTCAGAACCCTGACTTATGAGTCATGCAAGTGTGTCACAATATCTTACCATATGTTGAGCTATGTTAGAACTATAAAAGTGTGAATGATAAGCATTCACTTGAGATGACTATAGAAGACATGTTATAGTGGCAATATCTGTCAACTTAGTTTTCATTCCTGTCTCTAAAATAAAAAAAATATAATTCTTTGACATTTTTAAAGAAAAGATACTAAAGCTCTGCTGGGTTTTGAGGGCTTTTTGAAATTTCTTTTTTTTTTTTTTCTTGGTTGTATAAGAAATTGAAAAATCACTGAAAAGTGAAAAGGGAAGAATTCAGTTTTATTTTTTTTAATTTTAAATTCCATGGCATGATTATTGTAGTTACAGGAACTAACTATAAATATCGAATGACAGAAAATATCCTTCTGTTTTATACATTAAAAAGTCAAAACATTTGCTTTCAATATATATGGATTGTATATTTGATTAAGAAAAACAAAAAATCTATTTCAAAGACCTCTTAGCTGGAAATTCTTGACAGAAAAGCTCTTCAGTGGAAGTATTTAATGGTATTTCCTCAAAGGAAATAACCAAACTCAATTCCCAGTTGGTTGTATCAAATGTGTAGCTAGTATTTCCCTCATTTGAAGAAAATAGAATATATTAGTATATGGGAATATTATATACTACCAGACAATAACAGAATTTCATAAAAAATACTTTTTTTAGTTGTTGTCCTATAGTTACCTTTTTTTCAAAATAAACATTTTTCTTTTTACAAGAACTTTTTCTGTAGTAGGTGATTTCCCAGGTAGTAGAAACAGACATATATTTAATTTCTGATATCTGAAATGAGCAACTGTTATCATATGGAGAACAGCCTCTCTAAACAAACATAATGATTCAGTATGAAAGTTGTCTTACTCTAACACACATTTCTGTGCAGGATAAAATTGCACACAATGACAGTAGCTAAGATGAAATTGCTGCTTAATTATGAACATTCTTTGTGTGTTATAATTCAAACATGAGAGTTAATAAGGCTGAGTACAGCAGCACTGTGGCCAGTATAAGAAAATCCTTGTTTATTTTAAATAAACTCTTGTTTATTTACATAAACTACTAAATGGGGCTAGGTAGTGATATTGGGATTCAGCTAATTTGAAATATCTCAAAACCATTGATCTATTCAGATTTCTGAGAACCACATTTACTGGCTTTGTTTTGTGACACAGTCATTTTTTTGAACACCAGCCATGTTCCAGAAGTATAGCTTTAAACCTTATAGACAGGTGATTTTATTCATCACCTCAGTCAGTGTTATTGAAATTCCATACTGAGAAGAGTCAGGTCAATAATTACTGTGTTTCTTTGGGGATGTCTGCTAACTGTCCCAGTCAAAGCCATAAATAGATGGATTAACTGCTTGTCTAGTTATTCATCTATGCTTTTTAATCATATGGTTTAGAAAGGACAGTGATATAATACCTGGAATATTTGATCCTCAAAACACAGCCTCTTCAAGACTGGACCCTCAATTATTTATGGCTTACATACTAAGCATATTCAATGGTTTAATTTAAGATTATTTTTCAGCTGGATGAAGAGGTGTGAAAAGAGTTTAAGGAATTGTCTTTTTTTTTCTCTCTTATTCTGTCACAAGGCTTTTTCCTATAACCTATCAGCTATTTCATAGATTTTTGAGGAGAGGGAAGAGTTCATTACACCTTTACTACTCAGTTGTAGAGCATTCAGAACTTTTTTATAAACACAGGTGTATAAAGAAAATAACATACATATTTCCCTTTGGTGTATCACACTCTCTTTGCCTTAATTGCTTCTAAAATAGCCTGATTTAGAAAGTAATAGACCTATCTTTAAAATGTATTTGCATGTAAATGACAATATAGAAATATAAATTTCTTCAAGAATCAAGGAGAATCAGATGCAAAACATTAATCAAAAATAATAATATACATTTTATTTTATTTATTCCATTAAATATTCATTGGATGGTAACAGTTTATTGCTATTACTTAGACAAATTAGATTCAAATAGATGGCCAAGAGATCATTGCCTTCAAAACCCACAATAATCCTTTCAGGCATTTATTCCCAGAGGAGCACTTAAAACTGAGCTTTAGTTTATTACTGTGATAAGATAAAGTTTTAGAGAGCTAACATGGAAAAGGGGCTGTAATAACCTCTTGGAATGTTTAAAGACCATGAACTAAGAATATTTCACAGCAGAGTACTGAAGAATTTATCTATGATTTAACATAACATTGAAAATCAGTTGAATATCCAATTCTGAGACAAAATATTTTCAATCTTCTCCTCTTTATTCCGTAGCTTTTTATTTCTCCAAACCACAGTCAGATTTCTTGGTTTTATCCAGCTTTAACTTCTGTATTTTAATTGTAATGTGTTCATTATTAGTACTTGGGCAATTATACTGCAGCTTTCATTTTGGTTAAGGACTCACAGTGTGTAGGACAAAGCTGGAAAAACTGACATTGTCTGTCTCTACCAGTGCAATGAATAAGATACTAAGTGTCCCCTTTTTCTTTTTTGTTTTCTTTTTTCTTTTGTAAGAATAAGCTAAGAAAGCAGTCCTATCCTAATGGGAAGAATACAAAACCAGATCATTGTGAATTTTTGAGTGACTGCTCTATTGACCCATAACATATTCACTAACATTAACTAGGCCAAGTGTCACACAAAGCAGTCTCAAGGTTTCTGGGTTCTACGCTCCTTTTTCACTTGCTAACCACCTCTGAGACTCAGAGCTCCATTTGGAGGAGAATGCTTGACTGTTGGAAGTATCATCCTCATGAATCAGAAGCTATTCAAAATGTGGATGTTTAATATTCTGAGATCATCTCAAGCTTCCTCAATTGGTCTCAAGAGGGCTGTTAGTGCTTAAGATATCAGTGTCATAATGCCAAACTTGATCTAGGGAGGCACAGTGAGGTCAGAACGCCAGAGCAGTGGCATGAGTCATTGTTGAAATGATGCCTACATGGCTGCTATGCTTAAATGTCCCACTTTTTGTGGGTGTACAGTGACTATCAACAGTGCAAAATCCTACTTACACAGTAGAACATAACTATTTAATAAGCAGTGCTGCTGCTAATTTTGAAATAAGTGATTTAGGAGTACTAGGTTAGATTAAGAAGCTGTTCTTTCAACACCCTTGAGAACATAATGGAGATAAAACTCTGATGTGGGAAATGAGGTTATGTAGATGTATTGAAGGCTGGAAATGAGATATGAGATCTTAACTTGGTCTGTAGATTATGCTGTGTAGGTGGTTTTGTCATAGATATCTTGTATCTGAATTTTTCAAGTATTATGGATTTTCTCTTTCATGCTCCAGCAGTAAAATATTTATGAATACTATGTTATATTCACACTTATATCTAGAAAAACATTCAAATTTCTGTGTATTTCTGTTAGAGAAAACAAAGATGTTACCTGCATCTTGCACTTGGAGGAGACATGGGAATTTTTTCAGTTCCTGGGAGAGATGATTGTACAGCCATTCAGCCCTCAGAAGAGTTACAAATTTTCTCATCAATTAGCCAAAGTAACTGAAACCTCATGAGACCTATCAGATTTCTCATTCTAATTTGGTCACTAACTTTGCTTATATCGGTATCTTAAACACTGTTCTAAATTCCAAGTTAGTGATAAGCATGATGACAAAGTATTAAAAAATTAGCATGTTCATATGGTCAGTTTTTTCTCCAGGGCATTGGTCCATTGACTGTACAAATTACACTCATGCTCTCTTACTCCTGTGTTCTCAGTGTTCTGAGAGAGCTAGCTGTCTCTGGAGTAAAATTTGAGTGGTTTAAATGACAGCTTTCAATAGTGACTCATAGACATCATCTGTGTACTTGAGAGATGTTAGATATACTGGGTATGTATCGTGTTCTGCTTTTTGGCCTGGGAAAACCTCTACAACTACTCAAAAACTCTGTCTACACATACACTAGCTCTTCAATTTACATTGTAACTGGGAAGAAAACAAGATTCTTTACCCAGCTTTGTATTTTCAGATAAAGTAAAAAGAACAAATTAAAAGTTAATATTATTAATCTTGTATTGTTGTGCCTGAGATGAGATGAAATGAGATGTGATGAGGTATGAGATGGATTTTAAAGAATACTGAGATACAATTGAAACCAAGAAGACAGTGGAAGAAATATTTTGGCTGTACAAGCAGCCATTTTAATATGGTGTACTCCAGGAAGCACTTTGAATACTGCATTCAAAAACCTTATTATGAATTTACAGCATTTGAAAGATGAAACCTGATCCATTCAAATAAAAATAAGAATATGTATGAATAGCACTTTGGCAATTCAAGACATTTGGGAGATGACAAACTTTATCTGGATTTGATAGGGTTTTTCTTTTCTCCTATTTCTACTATGGGGTTATTTGTAAGAGAAAAGAGCTGAAAAGATAAATTTAATACTGAATTTTTTTTCAAGACCATTTATTCTGTATTAATGTGACCCCATGCTGCTGTCATGGCCAGTGAGACCTATTATCACATGCTGAATATTATTTGTAAAAGTTACAGCTACCTGGGGGTAGCATTAATTATAGCAAGCAATTTAACCTCAGAAAAGATAAAAATCAATTGGTAAAGCTTGAATGGAAGCCACATGGCTGCTTTTTAATTCATATTAGAAAAACAGAATTGGTCTTCCTAGAGCTAGGTACTAACCGTATATTTTTAAAAGAAAATAGCATGCTTTTAAAAACTCTTTCTCTATTTCTGAAATACTAAACAATGGCCAGAATAATTTATGGAGTATTACGCACAAAAAAAAAATCCCTGTCTTTGTAATCCCCACCCTGAGAGATGAGACATAGCCTTTGTAAGGTATTTTACTACAATTCAGAGTTAACTGTACTGCAACTGTTACTGTAGTTCCACTTCAATAATAAACTAATTGATTGTTTAACTGATTTAGAG